AAGTAATCCTTGTTTCCCACTTTCCCATTTTCCAATACACCACATTTCTGCACTGACCACTGGTAATTGCATGGCAGGATCTGAAACACTGGCAATAGATCACAAAAACTCTTCAGGATGTAGGAGGAAATATGGGATTACACAAGAAAAGGGAACACATGAGTCAGTTAACACAATCAGAAAATTAACACTCAAGAAGTCATTCGCAGGTTTCAGGGTTAGTGTATTAAGAGGGAAACAATTCAAGAAGTTTAGAACTGTTGTTTCACAGTGCTGGAAAACTCCACCATGACACTGCCTTCTCTTGTTCGTATGTTTATCTTGCCCATGAGTTACTTCTGCCTTTAAACTGTGGAGCAAATTTCTGCAGCAATGTGCCAGAACTAAAACAGGGTCTGGCCTGTCACAAGTGGGACCCAAAAGCCGAGAGTTTCAGCAGTTCCTTTGGAAGTCTCACCCGCTTCTGGTTTTACACAGCACAGATCAAATCCCATCTGCCCCCCCAACCATGTATAGCCCCATTTTTAATGTTTACAATCCTGCAAGGGTTTTGCCTGGAGCAATACCAGAAGAGAGATGCTGGCAAATAAGGGACAGACAACTGTAGAAATAACATTTTTGGTTTAGTGTTTGCAATTTGTTTTACAGCTCATCATGAAATACTGTTAGAGATATTCTACATTCATACATTTCTAGCAAAATACATTTTTAAAAACATAAGGCACTTTAAGATTTCCTAAAACAAATGCTCATGATAAAAATTCTGGATGAGAACCCTTTCTACCCTTAATGTTCAGGTCAGTAAAAGATCAATCCTCTAGTCAGGCAGGCAAATGAAATAATCAATAGAAAGGTTTCCAAGATAGAGTTACTGCTGTATTAGTGTGCATTCTGAAGTAGTCTATTTGAAGTCTCTTCAGTTGGGGAGGGAGGGCATGGTGTGAATAAGATGCATTAAAATAGTTCTTTGAACTGGGTAACAAAGACACATTGCAGGGATTAAGTTTCATTACTTTCATTGGATTAAATTCCTTCCATTCATTATTGCCAACAAGAGTAAGGAACAAAAAGGAGCTGGTTCTCCCCTCCCTCCCCTTGCCCCACTCCCATTATAATTCAACACAAGATTTCAAAGACTTAAAATGACCAGGACAGAAGCCCATGAAAAACTACATCTGGCCACTTCAGAGTATGTTTAAATATTCATTCCTGACTTCCTCAAGTCTCACCTCTTACTAAAGAAAGAGAAATATAAAAGAATTGGCAACTGTAGAAGTTGCTTCCAGTCAAATTGATATTTTGCTTCTTTTTTAACACGATCCCACTGTTCACATTTAAGTACCTGCATTCAGAAACGCACCAGCAGTCCCCTTGGCAGAGAGAGGACGGGGCAGAGGATGAATGCAGGCAGGGCCCCAGGCCCCGCGGGGAAGAGGCAATGAGCAACTCTGCCTCACACACTTGCGGCTCTGCTTAAGAGCAGTTTCAAACGCTGGACGTGCTGAGCCGCTGTAGCAACAAGGGGACCGATACCAAAACACTGACTGAAGAGTTCACTCGGTGACGCATCTGTAGGAACTGAAATCCACTATTTAAAACTGACAAAAAGAGCTGTAATGCTGGCAAAATCACTATTTCTCAGGGCCCCTGAGAAGGGGATGGGAGGAAATAGTCCCTACCATCCACCGGTGTATTTTCAAGTTGTGTTTTACCTATTTTATTGACCAGTACAATTTCCAGTCTTTGGGGACTAACAATTGCTGAAAAACTTGATTCCCAGGGGCTCGGTATGTTAGATACTACAGTACAAACCTGCATCCCTACTCCTCTCAAATACACCTCTGAGGGAAAAGAAAAAACCCCAACCAACCATTTGTTTTTCATACAAGTCCTTGATTGTTTTAAATTCTGACTTACTTGAATTGCACTTTAAAGCCCAGCAGCAAAAAGAAAACTTGGTAGCTATATTCAGGAATATATATATATAAATTTTTAAGAGACAAGACTTTAATCAAGTCTAAAAATGCATAGAGATATCAACTGCATAAGCTGTCAAGTTTCAACCTGGCTACAGTGAAGAGGCTGTGAAAAAAGATTAGCCTATTAGCCCTGTTAGAATTGGGGCAGAAATGGGATGCTTGTTGAGTTAGGAAAGAAAATACAGTTAAGGATGGAGCTCAATTAGAACCAGCCACCACTGGTCTTAGCCTGTCACACACAGAGGTACTGCTGTGCAAACAGGAACCGTGGTGAAATCTGACTTTGTGAAGTGAAAAAAAAATGCATGACTTCAGGACAGCTGCTGCTAAAGAGAAGAAAATAAGGTGGTACCTCATGGCCCTGAGCTAAAAAGATCTTGAGATCTCAACTTGTGTGGCTCACTTTCACTGGCAGAAGAGCCAGGCTCTAGATCACTTCGTTGCTCATTATACTAGCAGCCAATTTAAAATTGTGACTCTGCACTCAGTTTGCTCTCCTTTAGTGCTGGTATGATGATATTCACTTGGGACAGGAAGAAGCATCTGAAAGAGGAGATGAAGAACAAAACACAGGCCACTCACTGATCCCAATTTAACTAACACCATGCAGTTGGTTTCTCTCAAAATCTGTAGGTTCTTCTTCCCAAGCAAACCTCACAGAATTTGCTAAAGTGACATCCAGTTGCTTTGCACAAATACCTTACTGTGTCTTAAAAACAGACTTTAAAAAAATTATTTGGAACCACACAGAGCACGTGCAATTCAGTTCTTTGTAGATCTGTGCATGTGGTGAATCTTCAGACTACGCTGCAATGATCAATGAAGGACGGGGTTGCTATTTTACAAGCAGATCATTTCTTTCAAATTCCAGTTCTCTCCAAAGGGAACTGGGGAAATGAGCAGTGCTGTCAAGGAAACGCAAGGCAAGAAGTTCAACCTGCACATCAAGACAGACTGGAACATACAAAGTTTCACAGACCTTGTTCCTCAGGTCACATTAAAGGAAAACCTGTAGTCTAATTAAAAAAAGAAAAAAAATCACTACAGCTAGTTACAAAGTGTAGAATTATCAAAGTGCTTTAAAACATAAAGTGTCAAATATAATTAAACAGGACCATTAACACAGACAGAGCTGCCATAAGATATTCAAACAGGTACATGTGTTTTCTGAATGCAGCAGAGGTTTTTATTTCCCCCTTAGGACCAAAGTGGGTTAAGAAAAGTTTTTCTTGTTCATTTAGTTTCTTAACACAATGCATTTGCTCTGCTCATGTGTTTGAAGGCACAGTTGGATTTCCTCTCTCTGAAACTAGATCAAAAGGACTGTCTGCCATTAAATATTAAAGAAGGGGCAGCACTCACTGAGCAAAATACACAACAGCCTCATAAAGTAGATTTATAGATACCTGTCATTTCATAATATTGATTTTTATAAGCTATTTCTTGATACTTAAAAATCCTGAGCTATTCTCTGCAGCTTTCCTTTAAACACTTAAGATAACTGTGTTATTTGAACAATCCAATAAAGACTGCCAAAGCTAGTATAACAAGAGCAAATGCAAACAAATAAACAAGGAAGAGGTTTCAAAACCACCTCGTTCAAGATGCTCAGACAACGCGCCTTAGCCTCCCTACCAGATTTTCCTCTCCTGTTATGAATAAGAAAAAGATCTGTTCTCCACAGCACTTCTCTCAGTACTTCCAATTCAGTAAGCTGCTGTCTACTTTAAGCAGATGACATTAAAGTTGGAAAATAACTCTGTACCAAACATAGCAGAACTAGCTGCAGCAGGGGGACATGGTTGTTCAGAAACAAGAAATGTCAATCAAGACCCTTCCTGCAGCTCACAGATATAAAAGCAGATTTGCTCTAGTAAGCAGGGACTCAAACCCATGATACAGAGCATCACATCTGGTCCCTTGCACAGGCATGTACAGCCACAGGTCTGAAGGAATACCAATAGAACAACTTATCTGTTTTCTGAAGGCACCATAAAGACAGCAATAGTCTAGGTGTAATGGGAAGAGGCAGAGGGAGGAAAAATTACGAATACAGTTAGGAAGAAACACTAAGACCAGCTTGGTATAACAAGGGAGAAAAAAAGTGGTTCAGTTCTTTGATGGCTGTAACATCTGTAACAGCACAGAGACCTACACCTCTAGGGAAAGGAAGAATAGCCAGAGCTTGGAAAAATCTACTCCTGAACAAAAAAAACCCCAAACCAAAACCCTCCCATTTTTGGTGGATGACTGTAAAGTTTGTAGCTGAAATCAAAGGAGACAGCAAAGAATCAAAATGCTACAGAAAACACTGGGGTCCATACATACTCACATGGCATCATTAGCCTGTTTCTGATTTACCACAGTGTTAAAAGACCTGGACAGTCTCCTTTGTCTGCAGGATGACTGAAGTCCCACGAAGTGTCATCTATTAAAACCCTTCTCAATCCGCCAGTGAGAAGAAATCCCCCTCCCAGCCCATACGAGGGAGGGGTGTCTCCCAGAGAGCAGAGGTTTCTAACAACCCCAGGCACCCTACAGGCAGTGTGCCACTGAGTTAGTTCTGCTAAGTAGCACTGCACCAAGCAAGTCTAGGCTTGCTCAGAAGTTCTGTCCCTTACATGGACTTGAGGACAGTTTCTTGTGAGCCCTTCAGGCCAGAGGCTCATGCTTTGCTGTTCCATTATTGCTTTTCAACTGCGTTTCCTTCCAGTCTTCCCCTCTCGCTCCCTGTTATCCCAGAAGGACCTTCTGCATCCTGCGCGCAGCGACGCTGGCTTCGTCCTCGGAGTCAGACTCGCTCTGGGAAGTAGAGCTCTGGGAGGCAGAGCTGCACGGAGAGGAGCACTCTGGGGAGCACAGGTAGTGCATCAGCGGGAGGCGATACTTCCCACAGAAGTCAACGAACTTGATTTGTCTGACGCAGCTGTCAAAATAGACACCTGTAAGGGTAGAGGGGACAGTGACAACGTATGAGATCTCGTGCGGGGAAATCTGGAAGCTCTGCAAGGTTGTTGCGTCTGGTGCAAATGCTTCAAATTAGGATTTAATTGACACAGCACTGGATGCAGAAGGACAAGGGATGCTGGAGAAAGAGAAGGGACCAGAATACCTATGGAAATGTGAAATTTCTTAGTTTAAAAAAAAAGGAAAATCCTGTAAAACTGTATTTGGCAGGTGATTCAGAACGTCACACTCTCCTTGAAAAGACACAGGGCAGCTACTTCCAAAGAATTCAGCAATTTCTTCTAACTATTAGGGAGAAATCTCAGGCTGGGAATTTGAAAACTTCTTAAATGTCAAATTAATTCATGCACTCTATCTTCAAACTTGTAAAACCTCTTCTACCAGCTAGCAAAAACACGTTCCCAAATAGACCTTCACAGCTCTAGTTTTCTCCTGCTTGAGTGAAGGCACCGTGCTGAGTTTGGATGCTAGTCTTCCATGGCAACAGTGTTGCTGTAACACACAATTATGTTCTCTTCCTGTCACAGCAAGTGATTTTAGACACTGACATTCTCAGAAGTTTCCAGCGGTGTTTTAAGTCCTAGCTGGGTCTGGAGTAAGCTTTTCTCCTGCAGTGCTAGAGCAATGGTGCAGTACTGTGCTAGTTCATAAGGAGAAGTGAAAAAGAGCAAAACCAATCCACTGTTATCCAAGCTGTGCAAAACTCTAAAAAAGGAAACCTTTCTTTCCCTTCCAACACAAGTTCCAGCCCTTGTGTCTTTGCTTACGGAGCATGCTTTGATATTGTCCTGTAAGGAGATAAGATAACAGCCTGCATTATGACTGCAGGCTAGATACTAATTAATGATTTTTTTCCTTAATCTTCTAAAGGCTAAATGCGCAGATCATTTACACTGGATAAAGATTAAGCATTAAGCCAAATTAAGCCCAAGCATTCTAGGCTTTTCTATGAACTCTTCTCCTTCCAGGAACTACACACTTGTAGTCCCAAGCAAGAGATAAACAAATTGCTCTTGGTAACTGCCAAGCACTAAAGCCTCCCTCCTCTTTTCCATCCAGAAATGAAGCTTGCTGTTCAGCAAGAGTGCTTGTAAAAGTTCTCCTGTCCATTACTTAGTCTGCGCTATTTCGGGGCAGACAGATGGGAAACTTCAGCCCATAAAAGCACAGTGGAGGGCTGGGATGAGCTGCAAAGACTCTGACAGAAACACTGTCTTATATTCCCATGCAAAACCAGTAAGCCAGCACTACAACTCTGAACGTCGTTCCTAAGTGAATAAGGTTCCTTAAAGACAAGTCTGCAGGGGACCTGGAGTCAATGAAATACAGCTAGAATTTGGATGCAACAACATATCTAACCTGACTGAGCTACTAAAGTCATTGCAAGTCAGAAGGAAAGAAAAGCCATGAGGTAAAGCACGAAGCAGAGCAGTGAAGGTGAACTTACCCCCACATTTAGGATTGGGACAGTTGCTGGCCAAGCTCAGGTACCGGACAAGGTTCTCTGGGAGATCACTGGGAGCGTAGGGAACATTGCGCGTTTTAATTGTGCGTCCAGCCAGTTCCTGAAGGCTTGGGGGGTTGTAGGTCAGGTCACGGACAAACCGAACCACCAGTGGGTTCCCACGCAAGCTCAGCTCTTCCAGGTGAACCAGGTTGAGAATCTCTCGAGGAAGGTAAGTCAGCAGGTTATTGTGCAGGCTAAGGGAACGCAGGGAATGCAGCCTGAGGACAGAAATGGAAACTCAGTCAAGACGTGTAAGCAAAATAATTCCACAACCGGATTACACAGACCTGATTACTCTCCCCTCTCCCATCAATTTCTTTTCCCTTGGTTTTCTTCCTTTTAAAGCATAAATTCATGCTAAAAGAGCTGCTCTTACTCCAGCACACAAAATGCCCTAGAAAACCTGGCCCAGCTCCAGAATGCCTGTTAAAGAAACAGAGCCTCAAATACGCTGCTGTCCCTCTCAGTATTCCCCCCACACCCCTCCCAGAAAAGGCAGCACGGAACAAAAGTCTACAAACAGGGTGCTTTTGGGGGAGATAATGTTTCCTTGTACCCAGTGCATGCATCAAGAATGGTTCCATGCAATCTTCTGAATAAGTCACCTGCTTTTGCTCATGCATTAAAGATGATTGCTGGTAGGCAGCCAACCCTGGAAAACCCCACGTTTACATTGCTCGCAGCTGCATCACCCTGTGCTGTGATACTACTAGATCTCAAAAGCTAAGCGAGGTCAGGCCAGGCTAGCACTGGCACAGGTGACAAGCAGTTTCTTGGCTTTTGGAGGAGGTCTTCTCCTCTCTCAGGAAGCACAAAGCAATGCTCCAGCACAGCATGCTGCAGGGATGCTCTCGAATCAGAGTTACAAGACAAGTGGAGTCATTAAGTGTTGCCAACAAAGAAAAATCCCACTGCACCATCAAATTCCAACTTAGAAAACCCCATGCTGCCATGTAATTGCTTTTGGGGTTTCAGCTACACACTGAATGCTTCACCTCCCATCTTAGGCTATCCATACAGAGTATGCAGTATCCTCCTTCCCCCCTTATGAATCAGATAAAGCAGTAACTTAATCCTCAGAGCCATGCTGTAGGATTTAACAAACACTGAAACACTCTGAAATCCTAGAGTAAGAAATGCCAAGGGAACACAGGGGATGGTACAACACAAAGCACACACTAAAAGGCTTTGGGGGAGAGGCAAACAGACCAAGCATTCATCACTACAAATATGGTAGCATGGCAGTTTCTTTCCTGAGTTGCCCAGATACTTCTCAGGGCTCCCTGTACAAACCTAATAATTCACTTTTCTTAGTGACATCTTTTTTTCCATAACATTTTGATTGAGAATTCCATATTATATATTCATGGTCTGCCTGCAATGCACCATGTTAAAGATCTTCTTGTTCAAGTCTAGTCACCAGACTAAACTGAAGGACAAATAGGTCCTCCCAGGTGCTTTTATCTGCACATGCAGAAGAAAAAGTTCAAAGAATTAATTATGGCTGGTGGCTGATGACAGTAAATACTCACTGTGCCAGCTGAGGTGGAATGCTCTGGATCTTGTTGTCACACAGAACTAGATAGCTTAGAGAAGGCAGGTTTGCTAATTCAGGTGGAATTGAAGTAATGAAATTCCCTCCAAGGTACAGAAACTCTAAACTGAAAAAGAAGAGAGAAAACACTGCATTATTTCATTAGGGCCATTTCCAGTTTCATTTAACGCTAGGTCTTCTCATCTCCTGCATTTCTTGAAGAAAACTTACAGATGACTATGTATGAGATAATTTGCTGAGAGGAAAAAAAAAAAAAGCTGAGTTGCACACGAAAATTACAACAGAGCTGCTGTTTCACAACAGGTAACGTTGAGACCTACCTCCAGCCTCCTGCAGTCACCATCACATCCGTAAGCAGGCACCGCACAACTAAGCATTGCTACACCAACCCCACAGGCAAAGCTCCCGCTTATATTCTGGAGGCAGAACAGCCTGAGCACACAGGGTCTGCAGCACTGACCCAGCTCAACAGGAACAAAGCAAGAGAGCGGCAGCTCTGCCTGAAAACTCTGCCCTGCGCCAGTGCCAGTCACTCTTTACGGTATTACCTGACTCCCTGGTGACTAACTGCAACCTTTCAGCAGAAGTCAGAGGCATCCAGTCCTGCTCTGATACAATTCACATACTGCCAACACCGCAGCTGCAACAGCACAGAGAGCCTCTAACTCACACAAGTACCCACATGTGATTCCTCAGGTAGACCAATTTCAGTATACTGAAGTGATGGAGCTCACAGCCACCAAAAACATTAGCTGGGCTTCACTGCAGTGTGAGCCTCAATCAAAAATATAAATAAATTCACTGCATGTCCTGTGAAAACTCAGTGGATGAGAGAGAGGAACGAAGAGAGGCACTAGATCCCTTCTGCTAGGTTGAGTATCTAGTATTTGCTGTGCATCCCTGCCCTTCTAGGAAGAAAAACTGTCAAGCACTTCTCTCTGACATAATAGCTTCAAGTCCCCATTTCACAGTCAAATAGTTTCCCTCCTCTCTTCTCAGATGTTGTCTGGAAGAGCAAAGGCAGGTTCAGTTTGGGTACTCTTGGCTGGGAAGAGACACCATTGCTAATCGCAGTCTAGACAACACTTTTCCCCACGCCTGAAGCAGATGGATCCCACGGTCCTGTCCCCAGGTGTCTGCGGTCCTCATGCTGGTTCAACCTCTCCGGTACGCGCTCCCATTAGCCACCTAACTGCAGTGCACATGGCCCCCTCTGATCTACCAAGCATTCCCCACAGGTCAGAAAGGAGAAGTCATCCAGACTCCATCAGCTTTTCTTTAACAATAGCTGAGAACCTCCTTGGAAGAAAAGACACCTTCGTGTCATTCAGGACATCAGAGAGGCTGCAGATACAGCTGGCAAAGGAATGCAGGACCAAGCCATCCAAAGGCCATGGTGCTCAACCCAGAGAAGGTCTGAATCCTGCGACTGTGTGGACCATCAGAGAAGCTCCTCCCTGAGGCTTCCCCTGGGATGGAGCAGAACAACTGTAGAGATTATTTCATTCAGTTCTTGTAAGAAACTGCAACCCCAAAGATCCAATGACAGCATCTGCTTGGGCTCCAGAGGCCGCTAACACAGTATAGAGGCCCACCCACCCATCAGCAAAGAGGAGAACAACAAAACCACTGCAACACATGAGGACACGCTCATGGAGCTCATGTTCCCCTGGATTCACTTACTTGTTTGGACTACATCAGAGGAAAGCTAAGTACCTGAGGTATTAAAAAGTGAGCACAGAATTAAGAATTAAGCCATTTCTAAGCCTTAGAATTAAACTGAATTTGACTATACGAAAGGAAGTAACTCTACTTGTTTCAGCTGTGAGATAAAGTGGGACAACACACTTGGAGGTTATTCTGAACATACAAGAAAGGAGAAAAAAACCCACCACCAAACCCCCACTGCTCCAAAGTAGCCTCTCATCCACAGCCAACCTGTAGGTGAGCAGTGGGGGCAGGAGGAAGGTTGCTGTGCAGAGACCACGTCAAGGGGAGATTAATTTTAATTAAATTTTGATCCCCTAACAAAGCCCAGAGTTTTAGCCAACATTCCTCCTTCAACCACCATTGTTTCCCAAGGTGGATTTAGGCTGCTTGGCTCTCGTTAGGAACTCAGCTGCTGACCACACAATTCCTAGGCGTATTTTAACTCCATGCCATTGCTGGAGCCCACACTGTTGGGCAAGGGAGTTCTAGTAACGTGGATTTCAATGTTTAAACAAGGTTTAGATGTGTACAAGTCTCCACTTCCTAGCAAAAGTGAATAATTAACTCTTCATCCTCCGTGTTTAAAGACAGTAACGCACACAAAGCCACATTGCATAAACACACATACTACCAGGGAAGGGGAAAAGGGGTGAAAAATATATAGTCAATAATGGTTTTGAAATTCATTTCAGGGTGCAAAATGTGTAAGTTTCAAGATCAGCTTATCACACAAACTAAACATGCAAAAACACTGCCTACAAACTACTTGAAACTTTCAAATCCATTCTTTCTAACGTCTGTGTAATGAGAACGCTCAGTTATACTCATGAGGATATAAAGCCCCAATATTGGACCTCCAACTGTCACTAACTAAAAATCCATTAAATAAGTTAGTTCCTTCACTGGCAACCAAGGGCTTCTTCAAAATTGTTTTCTTTTTACTTATTCTGAGCCATCTTTTAGAGGTCAGTAGACTAACTGGGCCGAGTCTAGTACAGCACATTCAGAATTTCCAACATCAACTTAAATTATGAATTAAGATAGCAAATTTATTTTAAAAAGCACAGGGAGGCAGTTTTGAAATTATAAAGAAACTATAAAGAAACTTATTTAAAATAAAAATATTCTTATAGCTTTCACTGAAACACCGCTCAGTAGGCAAAAGAAACCCCTAACTCCCATCCCTCAAATACAATTTGCCAGAAAAAAGGATCTAGTCTAGTCTCGGCTGAACAAGATGGAAGAATTAATAACAGCCATTTCTGCATCAAGTGAAAGTGTCAAGAATTGTTTGAGCAAAGCTAGCCATGACACAGGCAGGGATTTTCAAGAGACAAAACCCTTTGGTTAGCGAGTACTGACCATGCCACTGGGGCCACAGTTTGTTCCAAGCTCATCTACTCCCGGCCCGATGTTCAAGCCCTACTAAGCCCGTACTAGAGCCCAAGGCTCTCGAGCTGTCCTACTCGGGGCACAGTTTGCTGCTCGATAAGACAACCAAGAGCACTGCTGAGCTGTGCCCTCCTCACAAGAGCCCCTCTAACAAAGCAATCCACAACGTTTCCCATAGTTTTTCACAGAAGGAGCACAGCAGAGACAGGACTGAGCTTAGCGAATACTTCTGAGTAACCTTTCACACTCAGACCCAGTTTTTCTGACAATCATTAATCTGTGTAGTCATTCGGAGCAGCCAGTTAAGGTCTCGTGCATCACTGTGTACACAGAGGGAGCGCTGGAATTTTTATGTACTTTCAAAAGTCAGTCCAGGAAACCAGAGAAGCCAGCCAGCCAGCAGCAGCGTCAAACGAACGTAAGCTCCGTTTTTGAAGCTAAGATTTAGAATTAGATGTACTTCCAACCTGCCACGAAGGCTCTGGCTGAACAAATTTCAAGAGAGGACAAACATTAACAAAATCCATCTCAATAAAAACTGAATAAACCCTCCATTTGGCAGAGTAACTAATGGAGGCTGACACTTTCTCTCCTGCCTTTTAGTAATGTTTCCAAATACACTAATAAAAGGCCAGAGTTGCTACCAAGCCTCGTATCAAACAACCAGGAATCAATTCAGGTGGTGGCAGCGAATTTTAACATGCCAAGAGACTGTACATTCTTGCTTGAGTAGGTCCTTGAGATTTCCAGGTCATCATATACCACAAAACAAACCAAAAAGCCCCAAAACACTCAGTAAATAAGAGCCCACTCTGGGCACTAGAGATATTTTTGATACCCTATCAACTACCACAAGACTTTCATAGTTATGTTTCAAGGGGAGAATGTCTTCTGGCATAGAAGATACTCAAATTTTCAATCCACCCTCTTTCCCCACAGATGCTTCTTTGGATAAAATTAAACAGCTGACATCAAACAGATGCATCTAAATAGGTAATCTAAAAAGAAACAATGGAGCTTGAAACAGTTCCAGGTCTTTTTAAAGATAAACTTTTTAGCAAGAAATTTCCAGGGCAGTTTTGAGGCTCATGCAAGGGAGGAATTTAAAAGCAGCCCACAATACACTCCAGTTAACCCTGTTCTACGATTTGCTAATTCCTGAGAGAACTGTGCAGCCTTTGCTGACACGCAAATTTAAGATCAAACGGTTGTCTGAAAACTATTTGCAAAACGTTTGAAGAGGGGAAGAAAAAGGGAGGCAGCAAGCAGATTTCCTAATGCTGTATCTTTATCAAAGCTTCATTTGCCATTTTTCCCACACTGTAACAGCCATTCTTGAGCGTAGGCTTGTCTAACATGCTTAATACTACCCACGAATAAAAGCAAATACTCTGGTTTTCATTGCATCTCAGCCTTTACACAAAACTTGGATGAATCCAGTCAGGCGTTTGAGGCCTTTGATCCCAGCCCTTGCACAACGGGGCTTTACTAGAAGAATCCAAGGAAGAAGGAAAGGAGCATGCACAGCAGATGCCTGGAAAGAGCCTGGCTCTTTTCCAAGCTCTTTCTGCCTGCTCCTGGTGCTCTACTGAGCACAAGAGTATTAACTAGAAGATGACAACTAAACTCAAAATTCACATCAGGAGATTCAAGGTACTGACTGCATTCTGCTAAGCTCTTCAGAACGTTTCCCATTACAGGACACTTGCAAGACATTTCCCCAAACGTGCATGCTGATGAGGGCAACCCATGCACCCTTAAGCCAAAATTCACAGCTGGACAGTGAAGATCAGAGGTGTATTTTACCAGATTTGCCAAACAAATCTTGTCCAAACTGGGCACAAGTAGATGACCACATTTCTAGCTCAGCAGCTATAATACCTGATGTCCCTTAGCACATCCCCAGCTGGATCAGCAGAGGAAGGATACACACAACCAGTGCAGCGGTGGGATGTCTACACAGCTCATGAGCTGCTGGGAGCTGGGAACTGAGTCAGAGAGAGC